AGAAAAAGAATACGAAAAAGTTGAGGAGACTTAGAGCAACTTCATCAGAAGCCACTGCCGATACAGCGTAGTGCTGCAGGTGGTCGGTGTGGCATTTCTTCCGGAAAAAAAGGACCCAAGAAATGACGTCTAGGAAAATTGATCATGATCGGAGATGCAAATAAGAAAAAGAAATGCTTGATAGATATTAACTCCAAACCACATACAAAACTCCACAGTCACTCCGTTGAGTTTACTTTGTTATCCGAACCTCCATTAACTTTACAAAATACCAGGTCTGACCCTTCCTGATCTCTACAGGCATAAGTTTAAAAAGTAAAAAATGAGTTATATCGAAAAGAAGAGAAGCTCTCACCTTGTGACCTCGCTCAAGCAGCGGGACCAAGAAAATGCGTCCGAAACCCCGTAGGTATGCCCTGTTCCTGCAAAATGCAGATCGTCAGCACCCGTTCATTCTTTGACGTCGATGAATGCACAAGAAACAGCGCAAACACTACAGATCGCACGTGTGGCAGCGACAAGAACCTCTCCACTCGGAAAATCAATGGGCGGACAGCTGATAGAAAAATCATGAGCATTTTCCGTTCAATTCATTTCTCATAGAATTTTCTCTTCTCACACCATTCAGATAAGTAACGTAGCTCATTCCCAAGCGGAGGATAAGTGCAGACTATTGAACCCACAAATTCCTGCCTTTCATATCTTAACCGAGACATATCTCTGGTTTACGTCTGTTTAAACTTAAGGGAACTTTCTTCAACAGCTTCAGCCTCCACTGATTCAAACCAGTTCGGTAATAAAATGTATTGAAGCTCATCCTAAGAGCACGCTGATTGATGGGCTAGGCATCAAAGGGTTCAAGCATGCACGCGCTACGTAATGCCCTCTTGAACACGGTGATGTAAGAGCCATGAGAACTTCAGTCCTCTAGTCCGCACAGTAGTGACGCAAGCAAGATCACGCGCCCTTCCTGTCTAAATGCTGCTAGCCGGATTTGTCCAAGTGATTCTCCAACCATATCACTAGCTGACTCAGCGCCGTTGACCAATTAGCCGTATCTTCGACACGACCCTTCTATTACAACAAGAACTGAGCAATCCTCATGACGTAATCGCGTTACCGCCTTAAACCCAAATGCCGAAAAAAGCTCAGACCCTGATGCCTGCAAAAATTCCAACGTAACTGGATAAGTGGCATTTTGCGCTGGCTATCCGCCATTGTGAAGTTTCTAAGCACTGAACAGCATTCCGAAGTTAGCAGCCGGCACAGAGACCACTCATAGTCCTTGAATACCACCGCGGTTCATATCCCACTCGGGCGAATCAAGCACTTCGTAACTAAGAGTCGGTTAATTGGGGTCACAGATAGAATAGAAAACGCTCATCAGCTGGCCAACGCAAATCATTGCATGAGGAAAATACGCATTCAATTGTGGCCACAATACTGTGCCGATGCAAAGTGCGTGGCGCAACCCAAAATGATGAATAAACACAGATTGTCTACCCTCCTCATCACTCCGCCCTCATATTCAATAGTAGATCAAACACAAATCGATTCAGATAATTTACCAGATATAAAAATGATACAACATACAAACATGTTTGAATCAAAATGGCATTAAAATTTATTTATGTAAGCGTGTGTAATGAAAAAGAAGAGTAGCACACACACCGCATTAACGCCTAGGTACGATCATGGTTCAAAGCGAGTGTAATGAACAATAGTTATAAGGATAATATAGATTCAGAAGAACCTACGAGCGCATCACCCAGACTTTGACAACTGTGCAAAAAAGAATCAAGAATTCAGCGTTCTCTTGGCTCGAATAAACAGTAATAGAAAACATCGTCAAGAATAGGTCAAAAGTACACACTAAAGACACACCACGCTGACGATTTGCCAGTAAAACGGTATTCTCATAAATCACTCACAATAACAAGGAGGTTTGAGGTTCAAAATTCAAAACTAACTAAACTTGATAGGTATGCGACATAAACGGCATTCTGATCAAGAGAAAACCGGACGACTGTCGGAAGTAGAATAAATGTATGGACATCATGAGGCCTACCGAATTTTGCTGGCTCGCTGGTACAACGCGTCTACGACTTCACCCATGGCGTGAATCGTTTTCAGGGCTGTTTCATATGTAACATCTGGAGTTGTGACATCGTAAACGATCAACATGCCATCACCTTGATGGAGAGATCCACTGAATTTCCGATCCAGAATCATTTGTGACAATTTCTTCTCAACCTAAAAAATGGTCCAGAAAAATTAAAATTTAAAAATAAAGATCATTGTGCAAGTACTCATGGGCTTCCTTAAAATTCTCTTATAGGTTTAGCATCAAAGTTCAAAGACTCGCCACAGGCGCTATGCTATGCTACCCCATTCAAGATATTTCTACCACAATGATGCCATGAGCGCCTCATGGCCATATCACAGACGAGTATGTGGGTATATTTTACCCACTTACATTGCCCTACCCAAACTACCTTAAAACAAGCTCTAATATAAGGGCGCATGCATAGTCGGTCGTCCGATCGTAGCGATCGCACAGCATTAGATACATATCGATTGGCTGACGTGCGATACATGCGTACATGTGTCCCACGATCGACACACACATACTACTCCACAACAGAACAATCGTACTTCCGAATACCGTAACGCGCAGTCACGCGTTGTTTGGGTTTGCATTGAGCCACCGCGTCGCCTTCCCTTGCGCGACCGCGGCTTAGACGATCGCTGCGATCGTTACGATCGCACGAGCGACTATGAATGCGCCCCAAATTTCGGAGTATGGACTCCTCTATGACCCAGAAATCGGATCTCAGTCAAATAATAAAAAGAAATGAGACCTTAATATGCTTATAAACTGACCTTTTCGCGATCGATACCAATACTGTTGGCGATGTGATCGATTTGAACGTAAGAATAAGGCTCAATGATACGACAGAGATCCTTCTCTAGCATTCGTTCACTGAGGGAGTTGAAGTGCTTGCGAACGACAGGATCCATCTTAAAACATGTGTATACACCCCATTCAAAAAAAAACAAGTTGAAGCCAACAAAAAGATTACCTGTAGCTCTTGTGGGTAAGCACCGAAGGCAGTATTGAAGTCTGCCAAACTTCTTTTCTTTGCAGCTGCAGCAATGGCTCGCATTGCATCCAAATCCGACCCGGAGTACTTCAGGGCGAGCTTACCCGTTAGTAGTGTATTGACATCATCTGGTACGTCGAGCATCACCTAGAACAAACCACTGGACATTGTCACTACAAAGTCACTGAAACAAGAAATGTAGAAGCAGCCTACAATTTTATTAAAAGATTCCTACCTTACAAAGAAGCATATACTTCAGCGATAAGAGTGCCAAGCTTTTCTCATCGACCGAATCGTATCCTTCGAAAGCTTCATAGAAATAAGAGAACGCTGTTTTGAAATCTTTCTCGTCTGCTGCATGAAGAACGCCGGACTGCAAATCCAACGCGGCCTAAAAAAATATGATAGAAAAATCTGCGCATCGCATGCAGTTTCTGCAGATTCAAGAAAAAAAGGCGAGAACAAACACAGGGACAAACAGTAGAGAACTAGGCCAGGCAACAAATACCATGAACCAGCAACTTTTGTTTCAACTTATCACATCCAAAAAGTAAACGCTCAAAACACTGACCTGCATTCTAGGTTGTACGTATATGGCATTTGCGGTTGTTCGGGCTCCAGTAAGCGATGCTCTAGCTCTTCCAATATTTCCAAGGTGATAGAATGCCTTGCTCTCTTCCAATTCCACTTCTACGAGAACGTCCTTATCGTCAAGCTTCTTCAATTCACGAATAAGATCAGCAGCTGAAACGTTACTCAATGGCAAATGAATTACTCAAACATGAAACGATCATGAAAAATGGAGAAATAATTCCAAAAAAAACAAATGGAAAGAGTAGAAGAAAGATTGAGTTACCCAATGGGAGAGCCTGTGTATATCTTTGGAGATCGTTGAACAATCGTATCAGACGAGCCTCCAGCGTTTGGCGAAGGAACGTACGATTTTGATCCATCGCCCACTGTATGCATTCTCGCACTAGTTCAATCTGAAAAATATTATTTGGGAATTTTCACCTGTTTTTTTTTTTTTGTTAGCTGCTTTTAATAATTCCGAGTCCTCGTTGCAAATAGTTTCACACAAGAAATACTGGGTTATAAACAAACCGCATATGCCCGGTAAGCGAGAGTGCGAAAATTATAACCCGGCATTCGTGGGGAACCATTGAGGGATGTTTTTAACGAATGGGGGGAGATGATCCAAAATATAAAATAGTTTGCAAACAGCGGGTCTTACTAGACAATATGTGACATAAACGCACCTTGATGTCGCCATCCTGATCATCAATCATGAGACACAAATCAACGAGATTTCTCACAAGTTTTGCAGCTTTAGCTTTTCCTAGGGAGACGAGGAACGGACGAGTTTGTTCGATCATCTGCAAAGAACACTGATAAGTTGAAAAAAATGAGGTACCTGCTTGATAAACTAGTACTTAGTGAGTAGCAGAAATCGATAGTGTGAAAGTCAAGTCTTGTGAAAGTAAAATCAAAGTTATTACCTCCAAATCTTAAAAACCTTATTGGAGATTCAAAAGGGCCAGCGTTCATACCTTTCTCAGCTCTTCAGTTTGTTTGTTCTTTGCCAGCATATTTCCAAGTTCCATGATGGACTCTTCCTTCTTCTTGATGTCGGCATCACCTGACGCGGGTGTTTTTACTGAAATTTGACATTGAATGGAAATTTAAAGGATATCATCAGGAATTCCATGGGCCACACCCCCGCTCAAAATGATATTGCACAGTCCACTGATTGACCATTCAATCTTCCCAAACAGACAGCTATAATTTAACTGAAAACTAGAATATCAAACGAACCAAAGTTAGTCAGATGACGAATGACATTCTGATCGTTCTGATGAGGAAGAGATGTGATATGATCCATAACAGTTCCTCCTGACATTCTAGCGATTTGATAGGCTGCAAACGAACGAAGCTATATGGCTTACGAACGTTGCAAACAAGAAAACCTGTAAAACACACTCTCACACTAACTATTGACACTGTACAGCACGCATTACTCTACGATCGAGTGAGTAAAAATTACGCTGTGTTATTGAAATATAAAACAACACTACTCTGGTATTCACTCTTGTGAGTCATGGAAGCAGCAAACTCTACTTTAAACTTCAAAGTCGTTCCACAGCTATCGATTTTTACCAGGAAGCCCCTGTTGCACCAATTCTGATGACAGCGATCGCCATTTCATCCAACACCTGATGAATCACGTGAGCACTGTCATATTCGAAATGGTGGGGGGGGGGGGGTGGCGTTCATGCACAACGTTCTGAGAAAATCTAAACATCGGACAACAACAATATAACGCCGGAAAACCAATCAATACGCATCCAAACATCTTCGCGGCTGTAGATTATCCCAAAACACCACGTGAACGCGGCTCTAATGGCGAGCTAATCAATCCGCCAGAATCTACAGTCGATTGAGTTAATTTAGCGTTGTTTGCTAGCCCGAAATGCAATCATAAACGAGGCTTTGTTTAAAGCAATATAAATCAACAAGAACGACTAAAGTTCGACGATCCAAAGGCATTCATACAAGTGGATAGTCCAAGCTTTCGCACATATGAAGTGACTACCCTCACCAACCCCCTCAGATTGCGCTACACTTCCCCCCTAGGCTTACGAATTGCATTGCATGGTCTGTTCAGCAAAATGCGGCGTGCCAGCCCTAGCTTGTATAGCACCGAGATCCAAGTCATACATCCCCTTCTTCGCAAATCAGCGCTTTTCGAGGGCCTCCGCTTCACTTAACCAGCCTCTTCTTGGAAACAAAGATATGGACTATGTAAAGCGCGGACATTGAGTTTTTTGAAGCAGTGATATGCAATCGGAATGATAAACGGGCGGAATGGGATTCATTCAACTGGCAATTATAGCCCCGATTCCCGAATAACACGCACAAAAAATGAGCGTACATTCACCCAAAAGAGAGAAAACGAGCAGCTACAAAGAAGCAAACGTCCTTTCGCTAAAAAACTACCACACAAAGCTACATCGCTTGCGGGCCGGACAAAATGCTCGACAACGAGGTTATTAAAACTGCCAAGCTCTATAAAAAACAACAACGTTCATCCGAAAGATTAGCTAGTGATGATAAAAACCAATGAAAACTCACGAGGTTGCGCCGATCAACTGAAAAACAACAGCTGCACGTCGTTTGAAAGCAGCCAGATGATATGCGTGCCACGAATCCATGCTAGATACGCAGGTTGTCGACTACTGTAGCTATTGACATTCTGCCAAAGGTCTGCAGCTCGGTTGTGACGCAATATTGCATGAGGTTACGGCACTATTTAAGTGATCTATTTCATTTGAGATCCACGAAGCTTATTATTCGTCATCCAGTCGGCTTTACGTAGGCATGGCGCATATTCGACTGGAAATCTTTCCCATTAGGAATAACTTTTAGCTGTTTAAAACGATAATAACGTGGCATTGTTTTCTTTCACATCCTAGAGCGCTTTTTGGGTCTATTCCAGTTAGGGGGGAATCATGATGCAGTTTCTCGGCTCACTAGTGTGAACTCGAACATTCCAGGCTTCTCACGCATGTCACTGCCCTCACCCCCTAGACTGGCAAGACTCCGCCTGGCTCGGAGTTACCCTAGCTTTCTGGAAAAACTGCATCATGATGCTCCCCCCTAATTGGAATATACGGTCCTAAAAGTATACTGCTTTCATGTTATAAAGACCGTCCGAGCACTCTCCTAAACGAGGCCTAGCAAATATGAAGCTTTGGTGTTGGACGATCTCTTCCTGGATTCCGCTAATGGAGAGTGTTGTGGTCGTCGGAATGCTTGTAGGCTGGTGTCAGAGTCCGCGATCCGTCGCAGGTTTCGCTGATTTTCGCGATTTGCGCGATTCACGCGACGGGTCACGGAAATCACAAGTGCCCGATCAATACTGCAAATTTGGCTTTGGTGACAAGACGGTTATCGCATTCCGTGGTGTGAGCGTTCAATCTACCTTAATTCATTGAAAGGACGCGGCCACGGGTTACGGTAACAGCCGTTCCGCGCCTTTATTATCTGTCTTGTATACTGCAAGTGTTCTCCAATCCTGCCGCCACTTCTGCTTGATAGTGATGGCTGAATGACGACTGCTCATGATTCCACTTGTTTCATATTCAGTGTTTCAAATGTTCACACACTTGCATTTTGCGATCCGTCGCAGGTTTCGCGCAAATCGCGTGAATCGCGCAAATCGCGAAAATCAGCGAAACTTGCCGCGCGCAATCGCGAAAATCAGCGAAACCTGCGACGGATCGTGGACTCTGACACCAGCCTTAGTCAGAACAACTGCTTGTATGACCATTCTATATCGATTGAGACTAATATTGAGTGAGCCACACTTATACTTTGCGATCTTATTGAATTTCGAGTGTGAAGTAAGATGCGATCGCTTGTGTGATCGATACGTATCTACTTCCACACAAGATCGCAGACTATGACCGCGACATGAAGTCTCGTCAGCCTGGAGCACGGGCGTGCTCTATGTGCCTCCGCTTGCCACTGCACCACTCTGTCTTTTTGTTCAAATTTTTGAATCAAATATAAATTTTGATCATATACCACTCCTAAAGAGGACATCTTTCTTGTGACACATCCAATATTCGTGTGTTGTAGATATTAATTCGCTCGAGATTGTTGTAATTATTTACCAGTTCTGAGAACGTATATCAAGAAAACGAATTTCAGGGATTAACATCTCCCTCAGAGCTGGGTTGAGCCTCGACGTTTCTTTGGATTGTTGCAGGGATTGTAAATATATTTAATCCATTCCATTTGGATTTTGTCTTTGCAACATCGGAAATGTCGGGGAAAGGAGAATGCAGCGCATGGGGTGGCAAAACCGCCTGGGGAAGGAAGGAAGAGGTATTTTTATCGTCCTCAACTTTCGTTAGTGTTTTTTAATCATTACCGAGGTCTTTAAGGATTGTGAGCCGATCGTTTCTTTCGTGGAGATAATGAGTGAAGATCTAGCTGAGACTTTGAACGAAGAGGAACGTCGCAAGGAGCAGGAACTCTTGGCAGCGATTGCTGAAAGCGAAGCTGCGCCGGTGTGTTGAGAGAGAATTTACCTTTTGGTCTGGGCTCCAATTGATAGAAAGGGAGTAGTTTTTCCTTGATTTAGGCGTACAGCAACGACGAGGAGATGGCGAGGGAACTTCAGCGGCAGTTCGACCGTGAATACGAGCTCGCTGTGATTCTGGAGCAGGAGAAAAAGGGAAAGGCAGCAGGTGATTAACCTCTTTTGTTTTCTCTCTTTTTGGCTATTCTTCTGTTGTCGAGTCTTGCTTGGTTTGCTTGTTCATGTGTGATAATCGAAAATTTTCAGCCACTGTCACAGTAACTCCTGATCGCTACTACCCGAAAACGGCTCAAGATTCTGACCTCTCGAGTGATGACGAAGATGTTAGACAATTTGCCACCGATTCGCTTTACGCTAAGGTTTCCTTCATTTCATTATAAGTTTTAGTAGGGGAAAGGGCCGTTAGGTTAGGGAGCGACATAGCGCCGTTTTCAGTTCAACGGTTTTGCTGTGAGGTTTTCATGGTCGCCGTAGCGACCGTAGCGTCCACCTTGGGATCCTTGTGCGAAAACGTTGACTGGAATTGCCCACTGTGGGATTCTTGTGCAAAAACGTTGAACTGGAATAAGTGCCATATCGCACTCTGACATCGAAAGCCTATCAGTGCTAGCTGTCATCAGTGCAACACCATATCCGCGTTCTACATTGATTGTTCGTTTATTCAGCTTTAATTAAGTTAACCGATGATGTACCAACACCAACACGCGGTCCTGTGTTCCGCAATGCGGAAGGAGATATGGTCACGAAACACGATGCGAATGCTTCGGCAAGACGAAACGCTGACAAAGCCATGAATGTGAGTGGTTCTCATACATATGTAAGGGATGATTACTAATGATACACAGGGTAATTTGTGGATATTAAAAACAATCTCGATGTGGCCAGTCAAGTCAGGGAAACTCGCACAATCGTAGGGGAGGGGGCCAGAGCAAGCTTAGAAGAGGGAAGGGACTTCGCGGGAATTCAAATGATTAGCCTATTCGGAGCTCCTTTCCCACCAAAGCTGAAATTGGACTTCTATCTCCAAGAATTGTGCCTGACGCACCATGAAAAAATGGGCGCAATGTGGCTCGAGGGGGGCCAGTCGCCGCGCGCGATCTCTGCGTTTTTCTGTGTAAGCATTTCCTCTTCGCTAAATCGGGACTAAGCCTCGGGCAGGGGAGGAGGAACTCCAGGATCATATTTTCATCTTCCCAAAGTTCCTGCCCACTCCTAGGCTTAGTACTACAGGGCGCGGACGAGCAGAGATCGCGCGCGGCGACTGGCCCCCTCGAGCCACATTGCGCTCTACAGAGTCACAATGCGCCTCTGATCGTGTTTATCGACTACGATCCCTTTAAAATAATATCGGTCACGGAAGCGTTCCTTCGACCTTGATTTTGTTCGGTTATTCTACCTGCTACTGTCTTCTCTTTGTTCAGGACAAAGTCAATCTGGCATTTGGTGACATGCACAAGGAAAGTCAAATGCAAATCAACAGTCGTGTTTTCAATTCGCTTCGTAATTTCTCGAAGAGCGAGACAAAGCGCCAGCATAAGCTCAAAGACAAGGTAACTTTCCATTATACTCGGTATTCGAATTTGAACTATTTATTCATCATTTTTATAGGAGGAAAAAGCTACTATCGATACTTCTATGGATGCGGTAACACGATTACATTTGTTCAAATGGATCAATCAGGGCATCTTTGATAGCGTTGAAGGAATCATAGCGACTGGAAAGGTTTACTTTCAACCATTCTTGATCATTAGAATCAATACATGCATCAGATTATCACGAAACTGTTTTATTCAGTTTCTTTGTGCCGTAGA